CCCAGCTAATTTTTGTATTTGTAGTAGAGATGAGGTTTCTGCATGTTGGCCAGGCTGGTCTCGAACTCCTGACATCAGGTGATCCACTCGCCTCCCCCTCCCAAAGTGCTGGTATTACAGGTGTGAGCCACCGTGCCTGGCTGAAATGTGTTTCAACGGGACTGACCCCCTAACACTGGCCTGTAGCTGCAGCACTCCCAAGTAGCAGGGGAGGTGGGGAGGGACATGAGTTCCAGTGCACCAGGAGCTCAGCAAAGGGATGGTGACGGATTCCAGAGTCCAGCTCATCCTTGCAACCCTTCTGTGGAATCCAGAACACATCAGTTTCCACTTATTGTATAGAAGGTTTGGAATCTTCAGTGTCAAACTCTGTCTGTGTTATATTTTCCCACACTGTGGATACAGGAACCCTGGCTATGGGTGTTTCCTGCCAGGGCAGTGACTGTGTCTTCCTCATTAGTCCTTATCCCAGAGGTCAGTCCTGGGGAGAACATGTTAGGCCCCATGGGCATTGTAGTGAACATCCAGGGCTGGGATGAGTTCTAGGTCAGCCCTGGGCCTGGATCTAGCACAGGTGTGGAAATGTTCCCTTCTCAGTCTGTCCAGCCTGTTGAGCCCTACACCAATCCTGGAGCCTGCCCCAGCTCCTGAGTCAGGGTCCCTGGAGATGAGGTTGAGCTCTTGAGGACAGTGAGGTGCCTCTGGCTCTCGGCTCCTGCTGCTCTGATCCTGTCTAGACAGGGTGTGCAGGGCCACGCTCTTCGCTTGTGTGCACGTGCGCCCCCTGCTGGCATCCCTCTGGACCTGGATGTTGTCCTCATTGTTATATCCCCGGACCCACAGGACCTTTTGCAGATGTCCATTAAGTATCCATAAATGTATGGTAGGAGCAGAGCTGTGAACTATTTTGCAAGAAAACACCAGGCGAGGGGGGTCATGTCTTCCTCATGTCTGGGTCTCCTGTGCCGTCTAGTGCGGTTCTCAGTCATATATGTGCCTCTTCATATTTAAATACATTTAAATATTTACAATTAAAAGTTCAGGGCTGGGCGTGG